CCCCCTCCCAAACCCGCGGGCTCGCCCGACCCGGGCTACCCCGACGACCGCGTGTACGACGTGACGCAGTTCCTGCGACTGCGCAACTGCCAGAAGCCCGTGCCGGAGAAGATCCTGCGCCATGCGAAGGTGCTGTGGAAGGCGATGCCGGAGAATCTCGGGAGCCTCGCGAAGACGAACTGCCTGCGGAGTAACCTCTTTAAGGACGACACCAGCAATGCCCACACGCGGGTGCTGGCCTATCGGAAGCTGCACAATGAGGTGCTGGGGATCCTCGGCAAGGTGACCGAGCTGAATTTGGATGTCATGCAGAAGGAGCTGACGGATCTGCCGATTCGCCAATCCACCGAGGCTGAGATCCGGGAGGTGATCAACATTTTCTTTGGCAAGTGCACGCGCCCCGAGGATACCAGGTTCACACCACTCTATGTTGATCTCATCTCGCACCTCATCTCGACCATCGGCGACCAGGAGCCAGCAGGCCGCATGATCCGTAAAGAGGTCATGAACCAATGTCGGGATACCTTCATCAACGCTGCAAAAAAGTCGAAGCAGCTCGAGGAGCGCATAGCGAAGCTCTCCGAGGAGGAGGCTGATCTTGAGCGCATGCAGTTCGCCGCCAAACTTAAGGCCAACATTTATTTCCTAGGGCTCATGTTCCGAAGCCGGCTCACGAACGAAACAGTAGTGCGCGCAGTCCTCGACAATCTCCTCTACGGTGACGGCCGTCGGCGCCGCATCGTACCGGACTACTGCCTAATCCTTTTCATGGAGCTCCTTCAGACCTGCGGCCCGCACATGGACATCAACTTCTACAAGGACCCCCTCCCTCGTTATGTCGCCGTTCTGGAAGACTTTAGCCGAACCTACCCAAAGAAGCGCATTCAGTTCCTGCTTTTGAACTTTTTAGAGACCATCAACAATAACTGGATTCCTTTGCACGGTCCTGAAGCGCACCGGGATATGGGCAACGTGGCGAGTCCGTCTTCCCCGATGAACAACAGCCTGCCGAACGGGTCGCCGTCTGGGAACGTGATGGCTCAATACATAAAGCCTGTCATGCCCATTCCGCTTCCGAGCATCATTATAGAACAAAAGAACCGTATTCCGGATCGTGGGGAGTTTTGGAAGGTGATGGATGACTTCTTTTCCACTAGCGACGTCGAGGAAATCATCTCGGTGCTCAACCTCATCCCGAATGATGTGCTGCTTATCTATTGCAGCAAGTGGCTAGGTCGCTATATCACCACCTACAAGTACACACAGGAGCGGAGTAGGCTTGGGGAGTTATTTGAGCAGTTGGTAAATCGAAATGCCATCCCGGCGAAGCTACCTCGTGAGGCGCTTCTAGATCATGTGAAGCAGGCAATCAACGAGAACCTTTTTGTAGACCAGCCGAAGTACTTCTCCCACTGGGCAGCGGTGATCAAGAATGGCCGGTCCGTCTTCCCGCTTTCCCTGCACACCACCCTGTTGGATATGCTGGTTGATAACCATATGGGGCAAGAGGTGATTGTGAAGATGGTTCGTGATGTGCATAAGGCGATTGAGGATAATAATAATAAAACGACAGAGCAAAAAGAATATCAACTACAGGATCGTTTTCGTGTTCTACAGGCGCTATTGCGCTACTCCCCGCCGTTGTTGTCGAGGGATGAGACCGATGCGGAGGAGGAGGATATCTTGAATAGTGTGAACGATCTGGATATGGAGATGGGGTTCTTCCGGTTGTTGGGGGAGAGCTACGAGGCAAGCAAATCCTCCACGGCGCTTTTTGGCGCTGTCGATACCTTACGAGGTTCTCTTCTTCCGGCTTACCCGTTCATTTCGGCTCTTTTCACTTTTGTTCGCTTCGATATCGATCATCTCTGCACCTACTTCAAAGATGTGATCCGGAGGATTTTTGGAGTACGAACGATAGTTAGCTTATTTGAGGAAGTCTACGTCCAGTGGGCGCATCTGGACTGCTCTGAGGTGTATTACTTTAGCTTTGTGAAAAAAATTCTCACGCTCCTTAATACCAATAAAACCGAGTTAGACAAACTGCGTGATCGTCTTCGAAATGAATATCACGCGGAGACATTTGTAGCTCATATGGATAAGTATCTTAAGTAATCTCACCTACCCACTCACTCTTTTTGCTGGTAACGGATTTGATACTTTCCTTAATATATCTACCTATATATAACTAATGATTTAACTATATTAAAAGGGGTGGAGGTCACGATCTGCAAGCGATATAGGGATAGAGGTGCTATGTTGTTCGGATTGCAAACCTCCTCCTCTTTGTGATAATGGTCATAAGTGACGGAAAACACGGTCATTTGCTTGTAGGTATGCATTTAGGGGCGTTCTTCTTCCCTTGTTATTCTTATTTGGAGTTCATAAAAAGGTGAGGAGTGTTAAATGACTGATTAATTTTTTCCTTTTGGTAACATTAAAAAAAAACCATTACAATAATCCACGCAAGAATTGGAGGTAAGAAACCTTGAGTAGTTGCGGCATTTCGATATGTGTGTATTTGCATATTTTCTACGCTTATGTGCATATCCCTAGGCGTTTATTGGATGCAAACTACTCTTTATTAAGTCAAATCACAGCTACTGTGATTCTAAGAGTACATGTAATAAGGCATTTCTTATAACTCTGTATTTATTTATTTATTCTTATTGCAAGTAATATTCATGGTAATTAGCTCTTTGGGGCAATCCAGGCGAATGCTATTTTCATTTCCTTAGTTTGATAGCGTATTTAGTAGTGAAGTACACACTAAACCAAACACTTATTTTATGCATGAATGCATTGAGTTAACGATATATGCTTTAGTTAGCAAGAGTTAATTTTTAAAATGAAGTAGAAAACACGGCTAACGTTGATTTAGATATATTTTCTAGGCCAATAATTCAATTAAACCCTCAAAAGAAATGGTATTATAAACGATGGTACTTGAATTATTTATTTTGAAACAGTGTCATGCGTATACATTTCTATAAATATGTATGTATAAAAGTGAAGAGTATTAAATTTTGGCGATAGGCAATGGGATAAAACACGTGATAGGAATAGGAGTCTTGAGAAAAAGATATATATGGATTTTTTTTTCGTATCTTTTTTACTGAGTGAATGAACACAAGGATGGCGTGCTGTTTCATAATTAAGTGTGAGAATTTAACTATGGTCTCATAGAGAAGGGGGGAAGGTCCTCCGCAATTTCCCGTTTGTTTTGATTCTTAAAATACCTTCAACTTACAGTAAGTCCGCATTTCTTTCAAAAATGTGCATTAAAACGGACACAGTTTACTGGGATGGATGGCTATGTAAAGTTCTGCAAAGCATATTTATTCCACTTAGTAATAATTATTTGGTCTTTTTCCACCACAATTTTTTCTCTTTTTTGGAACAGCTAGTACAGGAAAAATGGAAATTTCTAGGATACCCTAAGTTCACTATATCGTTTAACCTCATATAATAGTAATACACGACAAAATCCATCTTTTAGGAGGGGTGGAAATTGACATATTTTACGCGACTCGCGTGGTTTTCGAGGCTCTCAGCTTGACGAGGTTCAGCTTTATCCTAAAAGATGAATTACATTAAATAAATGTAAGGTTGAGAAGGATGTCTATAGCGAAGAACATCTACTGTTGAGAGACTTTAGCACTCGGAGGTTTTTTCTAGAGTCTCTAAATTCCATGAATAAGAGAGTAAATTCGAAACTTTGAGGAGGTGGTTTAATAATACTAATTATTATTATTATTATTATTACTATAAAAGGTGCCTATTGTGAATGCACGGAAGTATGAACACGATGCGTATAACTCCAGGAGACTTTCCGCAACAGGAAGAATAACACCTGGGAGCGAAAGAAATACATACATTTATATCCACAAAAACTAACAATTTTCTGAAAATTCAACTACAACAATAATATTTCGAATAGAAATAGCAAGTAAATTTGATAAATGATCCTCATTTACTCTTCTTTTTTAACCTATTCCTTATTATGCAAGACGAGGGACCTTGCATTAGGTAGCGTATTTTCACTCCCTTCAAATCCCGCCTTTTCAAGAAAGGACAACCCCAACGAAGGGAAATAAAATACTAATACCCCCCAAAGGTAAAATACCTACTATATTAGTCATTAGTGAGCCCATGTATCACTTACATATTGTCGATAACGTCGGGAGCGTCCTGGGCAGTCTCCTTTTTGCGCATTTCACCCTGCGATGTGGGAATTTGCGCAAATTTATTTTACTGAGCGCGAGTGCGGTGCCGGTGCATCTCGCGCGGTTTAACCTCCACAACAGTCGAGGGGACTCCAATCTCTCCCTTCGCTATTCGGGCGAGCCGGGCGAGGCGGAAAACTCCCCAAATCATTCCACCCTCGGCGTAGCGACTCTCGGCAATCCGGTCCACACCATCCTGGAAACTGAAAATGAACCCGATGAAAACAACAACGCGCGCGTATTGCAAATCGCCGCGGCAATCCTTCGAGGCGATTGGCCCCCTTCTGGGAGCAGTGATAAAGAGGATCGCGTTGTGGAATCGCTTCCATGGCTTTGTCCTTTGGAAAAGCGAAACAACGCAATTCGGCGCTATCCTTTCTTTCAATCGCCTTTTGCTAAGGCGGAGCTGAGCTTATCGCGTCTCCATGGAGCGCGCCTACACGAATTAGAGGCGCCGAAAGATATCGCGCCGTATTTTCATTTTATTTTAGCCGTGCAACCCTCCACCTATGATTATTTATGTGATTATTACCGAGACCGACACTCTTCTCATTCTTCTACAGGGTTTCCCCTCTCTCGTTCGGTGATTTTCTGCGTTGGCGGTGGTAATGATGATATCACTCGAACCATTTTCATCGCACAAAAATTTGTGGAAGGGCTCGTGGGGGCAGGGGGAGCGGTGGAGAACAGTATCAACGCTGGAAGTGATAGTGAAGACGAAGGTGAATTAGAAGAAAATGACAAGAACGATTGCGAGGAATGGGTTGAACGAGTTGACGGAACCTTACAAGCGCTTTCTTTTCAATATGGAGCCGAGATTTTTTTAATGATTATCTAAAAAACTACAACTAATAAAGACAGAAGTGCAAATCAATCTGATGGTCTTTCTTTCCTTGACTTCGGATGGATAGCCTAATGCTTCTACACGGAGCTTAGATATACTCTATTTATTCGGCAACTATTTCATTCAGAGGATCCATTTATGCATTTACTTGAAAAAATATATATCATTTTCCCTTCTTTCCATGGGTGCTCGGTGGCCTTCAGCTTTTTTCTTTAATAAGGGATCAAGTATACTATTCACAAATCTAAGAAAAAGGTAAACAATAAAAGATTTACCCATAAAAAAAAAGACAAACTAGAGGATAACCACACCCATTGACACCCCCACAAATCTTTCTGTAACAATCTCTCTATCCAACTATAAAGAGAGAGAGAGAGAGAGAGGTCCGGCTTTAGCCTTCTTTCCCTAACTCTGTAGATATCACAGGGGATATCCCTAAAGACCTTTACTTCACTTTCTGTTACATCTAGGCCAATCTCCCCCCCCCCCCTTTCCCTCAGTCCTGACACTTGATAGCACTGGGGATATTCCTGGGGTTGTTTATCTCAGTTTCTGTTACATCTAGGCCCCTTTCCCCTCCCCTATTGCTTACACGATGGAGGAGGCGAATCTCAGTTTTAAGGTTGTCATCATCGGGGATAGCGGGGTGGGCAAGTCCAACCTCATGACGCGATACACCACGAACGAGTTCAGCCAAGACACCCCGGCAACCATCGGGGTGGAGTTCATGACGAAGAGTATTAAGGTCGAGGGGCGCGATACGAAGGTCCAGATTTGGGATACGGCCGGGCAGGAGCGCTTTCGCGCCATCTCTCGCTCGATCTACCACGGTGCAAGGGGGGTGATGCTGGTTTACGACATTACGAACCCGTCCTCGTTCGATTCGATCCCGACCTGGCTGCGGGAACTGCGGGTCTTTGTCCCGACGACCTGCTGTATTTTTCTCATCGGCAACAAGTGCGATTTGGAGCACCTTCGGGCGGTGAAAAAGGAGGACGCGGATCGCTTCGCGCGGAAGAACGGTCTGAGCTTTCTTGAGACTTCCGCACTAGAGAAGACAAACGTGGATAAGGCGTTTGAATGGTTGTCGAAGTCGGTGTACGATGTGATGGTAGCTCCCGCCGTGCAGGAGCAGGCACCGCGGCCGAATATTAATCTAAGCTCGCGAACAACGAATCTGAGTAAAAATCAGCCCGCGGAGAAACCTGGCAGAGGATGTTGCTAGAAAGAACGAAAAAGAAGGAGAGGGATATTGATAGTGGTATAGGAATTTTGGAAATAATAGAAAAAATAAAGATGTAATATGAAAGCGGAAATTGAGAATGAGGACCTAAAAGAAATGGAATGGGATCCCTATACCAATACTGTCTTTTCACATCTTTTTTAAATTTGTTGTATTCTATATTTATAGATTTTTGCAGTTACTACGTTGTATGCGTTTTTTTTTAATTCATTCGTTCTATCCCCACCTCTTGTTGCCATCTTTTTGGATTATGTGCTTTTTTATTTTGCCTTTTTTCTTTCCAAAGATTAATTGATTTTTTTATGTGGACCTATTTTTTTCCCCATAAACTATACGAAAGTTGGAAATAGGTAAACACTGAGAGAATGCCATGTCGCTCCTGCAGAGGGCAACCTTCACTGGGTGAAAACATTGGAAGGATATTAATGCGTCTTAAGGAGTCTTATTTAGCGGTGAATAAAATTAAACTGTAAGTAACCTTCTTTAGATGAATAGTAATGGAAGGATGATTGGGAAAATTACCCATAAGATAGGAGAGAGGGGCGAGGGAGTGGACACTCTATAGTGATAATACAAAAATGGGCTGTTTCTTCCTTTCATTATTTTCTCATTGTATTTCATTCGTTGTTTTTGATTCTGAAAGTCTATGGTGAAATGATTTCTGTTATGTCCTTGTGTGCAAATGTGTTTACTGCTTTTAATGTGCTAGTGGGGATGCTATATTTAAACATATACATTCATGTATATAAAACAACTACTACCACAATTAGAGTGTATTCCTTACACATTAATGTTACTTTACAATAAATCATTTTACTGTTACCGTAGTTTTGTGTATTTTCCCTTCGACTCTCTAGGAAAGAGGCAGGCGAGAATTTAATTGGTTTTAAAAGCTAATACTATAAAGGTGATTGTAGAAGTAGGCATATGAGAGAGGAAAAAGGGTTGATAAAAGTCACGAAAGGGAAAATTACGAATGAATATTTTAAAAGAAAAAAACAGTCCAAGCAATCAAACAAACTGAATGTAGACTATCCATGAGTTTGGTAGCCTGAGAAGGAGAGGGAAGGAGCCGGATGGTGTTATTATTACTTTCTCTCTCTCTATTTCTTCTATTTCTATGTGTGTGTGTATTTATAGGTAAATTTATACCTTCACCCTTTCCTGGGTTTCAACGCGGTGGTGTCGCCCACACCTCTTTTTCCCCGTTCTTTCCCTTTTCCCATCGAGCCCGTCCGAGCACCCCCCACCGGTGTTCTACCGCTGTCCACAGGCCCTTCCCCCCTTCTCGTTCAACCCTCGCGGAGGTGGGTTGGAGGGCCGCGGGCGTTGTTGTTTGAGGGCTCGACCATGTACGCCGTGGGCCCCCAGGCCGGCTTTTCGGGGGCGGCCTCTG